AAGACTTCCAAAAGGTGTACATCCCTCAACATGTTTAGGTTTAGGATAACTTTTATTATTCCATCATATTAGCCAATAGTATTTTCGGATCTTTTTAAAAAAAAAAAAAAAGGGTGCACATGGAGGAGATGGGCTGTGGGGACGTCTTTCAAATATCTGTAGTAATTGGTCTTTAAATTTGCTCATCCCGTATGTTGTCATGATTTTATTGGTTTGAATCATCCCTCCACTTAATAACTAGATTTTACTGAACACTAATTGATAACAACTATTCGATAAATTAGCATATTTTCTTGATCACTCTTTTACTTCTTTGTCTTTTTTGGTAGTGGAAGGGCAGAGATTTATTCTTCTTCCAGTCCTTCAAAGGTGTCTTCCTCTCCATCTTCTTCCACGATTACTTATAATCTTTATTATCTTCATCCTTCTTATCACTCCCACCATCATCCTTATCTTTATCACCACCACCATCGCCACTGTTCTCACTTCCACCACGGTGGTCATCATTGCCGTCATCTCTTCCTCCTTTGGTGATATCATCTTTTTACCATTTTTCTTTCTAGTAATGTATGCATCTGTATCATCGTAAAAAAAGATATTTTTCGATGCATGAGGTCCTCTTATATTCTCCTCATATCATGTCATTTTTTAAAGGCATGTATTGGAGTTGAATATTGTATCATTCATTTCATGCATATCTTTTGACATATCATATCATGCATATCTTTTGACATATCATATCATAAAACACGTCACAACATGTATTATATTGTCAAACGTATTACAGCATAACATATATCATATAATCAACACATCACATTATAACATTAATATGTCATATCACAAACATATCATTATTCTAACTTTTCATAAGAGCATATCATAATCATATAATTTCATAAACATATTACAGTCATTATTTCATAAACATATCATATATCATTTCATAAACATAAACATATCATAATCATATCATTTCATGGATATTTCATAATTATATCATTTCATAAACATATCAGTTATATCATATCATATTCACATCATTTCATTAACATATCATAATTATATCATTTCATAAACATATCAGTCATCTCATTTCATAAACATATCAGTTATATCATATCATATTCACGTCATTTCCTAAACATTTCATAATCATCATTTCATAAACATATTACAGTCATATCATTTCATAAACATATCAGTCATATCATTTTTATAAACATATCATAGTCATATCATTTTTATAAACATATCATAGTCATATCATTTCATAAACATATCATAGTCATATCATTTTCATAAACATATCATAGTCATCATTTTCATAAACATATCATTTTCATAAACATATCATAGTCATATCATTTTCATAAACATATCGTAGTCATATCATTTTCATAAACATATCGTAGTCATATCATTTTTATAAACATATCGTAGTCATATCATTTTCATAAACATATCGTAGTCATATCATTTTCATAAACATATCGTAGTCATATCATTTTCATAAACATATCATAGTCATATCATTTTCATAAACATATCATAGTCATATCATTTCATATTCATATCATTTCCTAAACATTTCATAATCATCATTTCATAAACATATTACAGTCAACATTTCATAAACATATCACAGTCATATCATTTTCATAAACATATCACAATCATATCATTTTCATAAACATATCACAGTCATCATTTTCATAAACCTTTCAGTTATATCATACCATATTCACATAATTTCCTAAACATTTCATAATCATGAGGCACATTTCATCATGCAACATCAATTTGTAACCATACCGAAACTTGGTTGGCCTAAGTCGAAGGTACTAAAACTCTTTGATGCTGGTGTGACACATGTCATCATACATCAATTTCTAACCATATCGATAGTAAAGTCATTTGATTGGTCTAGGCCGAAGTTACTACAACTTCTTGATGCTAGCATTAAGTACCATTTATTTGGTTGACCTAGGTTGAAGATACTACAACTCCTTTTGATGCTAACACTACTTAAAACTATCCTCTAAAATTTAATTCTACATGAGGAATTCAACCATCATAAATTAGAACTATGGAAATTGACTCACCTAATTTTGTATAAAATAATTTAAACCTACTCCTAATCATTTAACCTAGCTCAAACTAATTTTACATAAAATAATTTAAACTTACTCTTAATAATTTAAACTACCTAATTTTACATTAAATAATTTAAATTTACTCAATAATTTAAACTAGATAAGCTTAAACTGACTCAAAAATGTTAAACCAGCTCTATACATAAATAATTTAAACTATGAGCTAAAAGTAATTCTTTGAAATTAGAAGAAAAGGAAGAAAAGGGTCTAAACATATTAAACTCAAATTGAACTAGTCAAAATTAAATGTTTGGCTTGAAGTATGTTAAATGACCTAGTATATGAATGAAGACAAAATATGAATGTTTAGCTTGAAGTAATTTTATGTTAAATGATCTACTAAAAAGTATGAAGGAAGACAAAATATACTGAAACATAGATTTAATCCTTATTATTAAAAGTATGATCTACTAAAAGATTATATGAGTGATGATAAAATATGCTAGAACATGAGATTAATCTTCATTATTAAATGTATGATATACAAAAAGAATATATGAACTAAGATAAAATATGCCGGTTGAAAAGTAAGCCCCACAATATGAAAGGGAAAAAAAATGAAGGAAAAAAAAATCAAGGGCAAAATTCAATTTTGAATTCTTGGTAAGAACAAAAAAAAAAAAACAAAAAAGAAATTGACAAAAATTAATTAAGAAACAAATAAAGCTCCAGAAACGGCGCATTATGCCTATATGCGATTCGATTGGCAAAGGGATGAAGTGTTGGGTCACAAATTATAGATAGGGAAAAAAAAACAGCAACACCATCACTAATATCATGATCGTTTAATAAAATCAATACATATGCCAAGGATAATGTGTGCGCCTATTATGATTGAACAAATTCAAAAGATTCTCATTTTAGTTTTAAGTTGAAAGCTAACTAACTATAATTTATTGGTTAGGTTGCATATAAATGACATCGGGATTCACGTTATGCCTAGATTCACTTAAGTTGTTATTAAAAAGGAATGCATTGTGATAATAAATCTATAAAAAAAATTCACATAGGTTCTAAAAATTACAACTACAATGTGTTAAATATAAATGAGGGATTGTTTTCTTTCTCCAAGCAGGTTAGAGATATTCTAATGTTTGTGATACTTATCAATTTTATTAATTTAAAAAATCAATGTAATATTTTACGGATTAACTTTTTTTATCAATCAAGACCTACCCATCTTTATACGTCATTAAATGACAAAATAACAATACTATATATATATATATATATCAAAATTAAATGATAAAATAACAATACAATACAATACTATATAGATATATATATATAGAACTTAATAACTTATTTGAAAATACTCCATATTTTAATTTGATTAAGTAGACATGTTTGTTTAATAAATAAAACTTGCTACACTTTACCAGCGATTGCTACCTAAAATGCAGTAAAAATATTTACTATTACAAAATTACATAAAAATAATTTAAACATCATTTCAATTAGTTATAGCATATAGTAGACTGATAGGTGAATTTAGAATTATTTACTCTTAGGTTGCAAAATTTATAAAGAATTTTTGGCATGATTCAACTTTAAAAAAAAACATAATAATTTATTTCTCCTATCGTACAGACAATTGAAAAATGACACAAAATTAGTAGCCAAAAATAAGATAATATATAAATTTAAAGCTTTTCAGATTAGAAAGAAAGAAAAACGTTTGCAAAAGCATTTAAAAAATGAGAAAAAAAAAAAGCTAAATATCAGATGACAAAAAGGAAATCTGGTAAATGTTGAATCCCATCTTTCGTGAAACTACAGGGTCGAAGAAACTAGAATTTAAAAATAAGACAAGAAATGATTTCCGACGGCAATCATTAGCATTATAAAATTCAAAATAATCACGAGATGTCGTTTGACATATTATAAAAACAATTCAACATGTAAAAGACAAAAGGAGTTACTATGATTCAAAATCATTTTAGGTTCCAACGTTTTTTTTTTAAAATTCGAAAGTCCATAAAAGAATTAGAAGAAATTTTATGGAAACAGAATCACCGTTAAAAACATGATCTCTAAAGAATTTGAAAGAAGGAAAGAGCAGTTGGTTCAGATATGATTTAAATATTCAAACTATAAATTTTAAGAGATGATTAGTAGATTTGAAGTTTTCTAAATTTAGATGATTTACTGTCCGTGTATTAAGCTATAAATACGGTAATTATGTACCTCTAAGCATCAAGTCCTATCTATTCTATCTATTCTATCTGTTCTTATCTCTTTCACTATTCTTTTATCAAACAAGGTTCACCTGAGATGGTGAAGCAAGCTACTCGGCTATGGACACAAAAACAAAGAGTGTTAGCTTCACCTGAAATGCAACGAGCGCTGATGAACAGAAGAAGCTTCGGTTTCCATTTTGGACGTTCCGAAGAACCTGCATACAAAGAGACACGAAAATAACCTAGACAGTTAGATCTGTTCGCAATCAAGTCGAAGCAACCATGAGATCGAAAAAGTAAACGGTCAAGCTCGTAAAACTCATTCTCCAAAGAGAAAAACAAAGAAACAAGAAGGAAACAAACACTCAGGAAAAATCGGAAACCTAGAATCGTCATTCACCTCTTCTTCCAGATCCGACAACCTAACTAGTAAGACACAAAAAAGAACAAGAAGAATAACATAGAGAGAACCTAAAATCATCTCTTCCAACAAGAAGTGCAGCAGCAAAAGCTCAGCGATCGGGGCGAGAAGTTCTGAGGAAGGGATGAAAGAAAACGAGCGGGAAAGTGAAGAAGGATGAAAAGGATGATGGAGAAAAGAAAAACGTTTGCAAAAGCATTTAAGAAAAAAAAAAAATAATCTAAATATTTGATGACCAAAAACCTGGTGAATGTTGAATCTCATCTCATCTTTCGTGAACTGACAGGGTCGAAGAAACTAGAGCTTAAAGAAGGCGAGATATGATTTCAGTTTCTAATCATTTGCATTATAATAATTATAATAATCACGACATGTCGTTTTTCCTATTGTAAAAACAATTCAACGAGTAAAAAACACAAGGAATTATTGTGATTTAAAATCATTTTAGGTTTCTAACATTTTGAAAGCAAAAAAAAAAAAAAAAAAAAATCATAACAGAACTAGAAGAAAATTTATGGAAACAGAATCACTGTACTAAACACGATTGTCAACGAAGTTGAAAGAACAAAGAGCGGTAGCTTCACATGAGATTAAGCAAGCAACTCGGCCATGGTCATAAGGCAAAGCAGCGAGGCTCAAATGCCTCCGGCGCACGTTAGCGGCAAGCGCTGATGAAAGCAAGAAGTTTCGGTCTCCATTGTTGTACGGCTGAAGAACCTGCAGACAAAGAGAATGCGAAAACAACCTACACCGTAAGATCCGTTCGCAATCCAGTCGAAGCAACCAGGAGATCGTAAAATAAAACAGTCGATCAAGTAAAACTCATTCTGCAAAGAGAGAAACATAGAAACAAGAAGAAAACGAACACTCAAACAAAATCAAAATCATCATTGATCTCATCCACGTCTGAAAAAACTAATTACTAAGAAACAGAAAAAGGAAAAACAAAAAGAAGAACATAGAAAGAACCTAGAATCATCTCTTCCATACCTTAACTGCAGCAGCAAAATCTCAGCGAAAGAAAACGAGCGATAAAATAGCGGGAAAGTGAAAGAAAATGAGGCTTCCGTGGAGGAGCTTTGCTTTTAAAGCTGTGCGGCGTTTATAGCACAAGTTGTAGACTATGATAGAAGCTGAGACGGCCCATTGTAAGAAACGAGTGGGCCTTGGATTCAAGCGAAGCCCAATAGAAACTCCCAACGTTTGGGCCGGAGAAGGCCCATCTTTTCGTTTCAAGTAATGGAGCGTGGCCCATAGTCGTTGGAAGTGGTTGATGTGCTTGTACATCCAAAAACAAATGTTTTTATTTTAAAAATAATAATTTAAAATATTAAAAATATACCACATGCTTTGCACATAACATGGTATTACAAGTTTATGCATTTATATCAATTACTATAATATCTCAATTAACAAAAACATTATATCTTCGATTAAAATATTTATTCTTTAGATTTATTAGCTTATCGTGTACCGATTGAATTCCTCTTTTTCTTCGAAATGATTTTAAAAATAAAATAATAAAAGTATTTAAAGACGCCAAAAGTGTGTATATATATTAATAATTTAAAATTAACTCTTAACACTTTTTTTCTCAGATTATTCTGGTTTATTTTAATTATAATAAAAATAAAAAACACAAAACATATGCCTCTAGGTTACTCAATTATTAGGCTCTTCCTTAGTTAAGAATCTAAATGGGTTTTTTCTTTTTTCTTTTTTTTTTAAGAAAAAAAAAACTTTTCACTTCATAGAGACCACGTGGAGACAACAAAAAATAGGAAGAAATAATAATAATAATAATAATAAAAAATTAAAAAAAAAAAGAAAGCAATTCCAACGGTTGAGAGTGTTTCCTTGTCTTGCACCACCAAATACTACATTCCAAGAATAGAATGCATTTTAACATTCCCTTTAACTATTAATTAATTAATTAATGCACCATCTATCTTATTACGGATGATTGCATAAATTATTTTATTATTAATACAAGGAATTTAAGAGAACCAACAACAAAAGTATAGAATTAAGGAAGCAGAACATCCCATTATAACTCCATAAATGATTAAATTCTTTGTCTGTCTCTAATTATTTAATAATTCACACTGATTTATTGTTTTTTTTCTCAGTTATAGGTAAATTATTCAAAAATAACTATTCTTAAATAAGTAAAAAAAAAAAAATCTACCACGAGTAAAAGAATTATATTAACAGTCTTAGAATATAAATTTAATAGATATTGAAAATCTAAATAATGTAGGTTTATATTCGGATTGGTATTATTTTTGTATAAATGAATTTATTAATTTCACGTGCAAAAAAAAAAATATAATAATAATTAAAAACGGGGACCCAAAGAATTTAATAATTATTTAATTAAGTGCCATATTCTATATTCAATGAAGGATATGAAAAGATTCTGTTTGTAAATTAGGAGAGAGAGAGGGATAGATTCTGTAGGGTTTTCTTGGTTTAATAATGTAAGTGTTTATAACACCAATATATATGTAGCAAAGAATATAATACACTTTTCCTTTCTATGCTCTCCAAACTAATAATTTAATCCTTTAACGTGTCACAATGTATATTATAAAGATTCAGTTTTCATGAATTAAAATTTTGTCAATATTTAATGAGATTTTAAATATGATTTATAAATAGCATTGTTCTTATCCCATAAAAATCCAAATAGTAGAAAAAATTATTATGTATTTTTAAAAGATTACGCGTACCCTAACAGGCAAGCCGTACACGTTAGTTTTTTTTCCTATATAAAAAAAAAGGTGTAAATGTAAATGTAAATAAAGAAGAGGCAAGGGAGAGAGATTAAAGCGAGTTAGTTATTAAGTTATTTAATAATAAAATCGAAAGTGTTTTATAAAGGAAAGTGTGTGTTGGACATTGCATTGTAAGCATTATTATTTATTAATTGACGTAAGAAAATGACAAATATCCCAAAAAGAAAATAAAAGGCAAAAGAAGCTTGTTTCCTCTCTTTTCTTTTTTTTCTCCCCTTTTTCTCCCCTTTTCACTAGCTCATTTATTTACTTCACAGTCTCTATTTTACCAATTAAATGCTCAATCAATTTAATATATAATTTAATTGGAATAAAATTAAATGTCTCCCGAATTAAAATTATACATTTTTTAATTTATAGAAAACTTGTTAATGTCCGGAAAAACAAACCCTATTGATATTATTGATGAATGGATATTTAGTGGATAAGATTTTATTTAATTAGTACGATATAGTTTGATAAACTAAGTAGATAAAATTTACAAAAATATACTAATATTTTGACTTTGAATTAAAAATAAAATAATTTTATAATATAATGCTGATTCAAGGACAAAATTGTTTAACGAATAAGCTGCCTTTGTATATAAATAAAAAGAATTATGCATACATTTATGGCACCTGAACAAAGGGCTCTTTTTCTTTTTCTTTTTCCTTTTTAATTATTTACTAATTGAATTTGCGGTTGAAAAGAAATAAAGACGCAAGGAGATAAGGGGAAAAAAGAAGGGAAAAAGAAAAAGGAGAAGAAAAAAAAGATGGGATGGTGGTGGACGAGTCAGTCCAAATTGGATGGAGAAATGCTCTTCCATCCAATAAGTGCACAAAGAAGCTTTTTTTTATTTTTTATTTTTTATTTTAGCATCTTTTTTTATATTTTGCTTCAAATGGAAAAATATAAAAGAAATCAAAACTCTTTCAAATTGATTATAATATATTAGATCAAAGTTGAATCCTATTATTTTTATTTTGTCAAATAAAATTTGTAAGTTTGATTTAAAAATAATAAATAAATTCATGTCGGGTTAGAAATAAAATTTTTAAAATATTATATATGGGTAAAAATTGACAAATAAATATACGTTTGAATTTTAGTTAACCTTATATTATTTATTCCTTTATGAATATTTCATTATTACAACAAATTACTATTTTCCAGAAAATAACATATTCAACATTATTTTTGTGTATGAAAATCAATTCGGTTTCAGCAGTTGATCAAAGATTCAAAACTTCAATTCTCTATTACTTTCAATCTGAATTGTCAGTGTTTTTCTTGCTCATCAAGTGTTTAATTAAAACTATCCTTAATCATCCAAAGTTTAATTTACTTTATTTAATAGCTTTATTATTAATTTAACATATTTCTTAACTCCCCCTTATTATATAATGCTTAGAAGCTTAAATCAAGAGTTAGTTTGAAAGTTTGGAGAAATCTTGTTATTGGGTTTGTCTTGATTAAAAGACAAAAAAAACAGAAGCATTATTGGGCTATTAGGGCATCGAGGATTTTGTTTGAAGCTTCAAAGCTTCGAATCTATGGCGGGAATGGATGGTTCGTTTGATCTCGCGGAACTCAGTAGAAGAGTTGACGATGCTGATTCGAATAAGGGAAGGACGATCCAAATTTCATGGCCGAATCGGGCAGGGCCCGGGCAGCTTTAGAAGTTTATTCCAAAAAGTTACTTGCAGTTTCGGCCATAGAAATCAACCTCGGGACTGCAGATGCATGGCGGGCAGACAGAAATGGCTACGTCGGCGGAAAATGCACGTTAGATCGACGGAGAGAGAGGCGTAGGGTAAGAAATAGCGTAGAATTATTGGGGGGTTTTGGTTTGGAGAATCCGTTTAGTTGTGATGGCGAGGTAGCTTAACCTTAACCCTCCAATGGTGGAAAGTGAGGTCATAGCGACGTTAACAGCTGATTGACTGTAGAATTTAGCGCTAAAAAACAAAGGTAAAAAAGGGGAGGAAGAGAAGAGGGAGCCGAGTGGGCGGGATGAAGAAAAAGTTAAAAATAAACTTGTATATATATGTGATGGGTTCTCTATCCTTTTTTTTCCATTGTTGAGTTGCTTTCTCATTTCTTTGTGTTTCTTTCCAACTCATAGGGAAGTGGATGAGCGAGGAACTTCATTTCATATTTTATTATCTTTTGAAGGCGGCATCGTTTCCACACCGGGTTTGATCTGCCCACTATTTCAGACCTCTGTGTAGTCATTTTCTACTGTTATTTAACTTAGATTCAGGTATCTCGAATTGTTTCATCATGAAACAAAACCTCTGTTCTTCCTTTTCTTCTTCTTCTTCTTCTCTGGCTTTGGCTACCGCTTCAAGACTGGTTTGAATATTTTTTTTCAGAATTGAATTTATCCCTTTCTCCCCCCTGCTTTGCTGCCCATCTTCTTGTGTTTATTTGTTATTGATTTGCAGTACATGTGGGAGTCTCTTGCTATAACCTTCTTTTCATAATTGTAAGGGGATGGGACTTTGAAGCTGTGTTCATCCATGTTTGCTTCTTTTGATCTTTTCTCCTCATAGACCCAGTTGTTATTTTTGTTTTTGAATGAAGGCATGCTATTAGAATTGCAATAGTTTCTATAGAATGATCCATATTTTGTATTGGTTCCTTAGATAATACTTCTCTAGATCCAATTGTTTTCTCCCCTGTTTTTTTTTTTGTTGGGGTTCTTCAATTCTATCAATTATTCTGTATGGCATACCCTTTTTTCGAAATTGAAGGATGGCTGAATTGTCTTTTTCAGTTCTTAATTGTTTCCCTTTTCCATCTTTTCAGTCCATTTTACTCTTATGATTAGTCAACAGAGTATGAGCTCTTCATCCACTCAACTCTATGCTTCAAATATGGGTATCTATGAGCCATTTTACCAGATCAACTCATGGGGAACTGCCTACAGTCGTCCACTTTTATCGCCTATTATAAAAGTGGACGACTGTGTTGACAATAAAGTGAGAACACTATCTTTGTTCTTGTAAGAAAACCTGAGTTCCAAGGTTATCATCTTGTTGGATTCTAGTAATTTTTGTTTTCTGACTTTGTAGCCCGAGTTAATTCCTTTTGAATCGATGGATCATCCTGAGAGCAGTCAAGAAATGAACAAACCAATTGATGATAAGGTGAATAGACTGCGAACCAGCTCTCTCTCGTGCACTCTTCATTTTCTTCCTTTGTTTTCTTCACCTTCTGTTTACATCATCCAATAAACATATGCAGGTTCAAAGACGTTTAGCACAAAATCGAGAAGCAGCTCGTAAAAGCCGTATGAGGAAAAAGGTGCTGAAAGACGATCATTTGCACAAGTTTTTGTTGATATCTGATATTATATGATTGGAGGACTTATTGAACTTTGTCTTGTAGGTTTATGTGCAGCAGTTGGAAACTAGCCGTTTGAAGCTGGCACAGTTGGAGCAGGAGCTAGAAAGAACCAAGCTGAAGGTAAGATGGAGGTCATCCTTTTCTTATACAGTTTCTATCCTGTACCCAATTAAGCATATCTCTGTGTTGCAGGGTGTACACACAAGCTGTGTGGTAGATACCAGCCACTTGGGATTCGGCGGATTGGTAAACCCAGGTTTGTGATTTCATGTCTTACCTCCACACAATTTCACCTTAATTGGTACCTCCTTATTTTCCTTATAGTTTGACTAAGTGACCTCATATGTGAGATTCCACATTGGTGGGAGTGAGAAATTAAGCATTTTTTATAAGGGTGTGAAAACCTTTCCCTAACAAACACGTTTTAAAAACCTTAAGGGAAAGCCCGAAAAGAAAAGCCCAAAGAACACAATATCTGCTAGGGATGAGCTTGGGCTGTTATAAATGGTTTCAGAGCCAAACACCGTGCGGTGGGCCAGCGAGAACGCTGAATCTCGAAGGGGGGTGGACACCGAATGGTGTACTAGCGAAGACGCTAAGCCCCGAAGGGAGGTGGATTGTGAGATTCCACATCAGTTGGAGAGGAGAACTAAGATTCCTTATAAAGGGTGTGAAAACCTCTCCCTAGCAGACACGCTTTAAAAACCTTGAAAAGAAGCCCGAAAGGGAAAACCCAACGAGACAATACCTGCTAGCGGTAGGCTTGGGCGGTTTCATCATACCTTTAATGTACCTTCTTTCTTCGCCAATCCAACAGCAGGTTTTGTTTCTCTTTAAACACAAACAGAAGTGTAACTGAGTTGTAATGTTCATCTAGATAAAGAAGAAAAAAACTCGAGCGCTGGTTCCAATCTGAGATTTCTGCTACTTAACTTTCAGGGATTGCTGCATTTGAGATGGAGTATAATCACTGGGTTGAGGAGCAACAGAGGCAGGTCACTGAACTGAGAAAAGCGTTGCAAGTTCATGTAACCGATATGGAACTCCAAATTTTGGTGGAGAGCAGCTTAAACCATTACCACAACTTGTTTTGCATGAAGGCAAATGTTGCAAAGGCTGATGTATTCTATTTAATGTCTGGAGTATGGAGATCATCAGCAGAGCGTTTTTTCCTCTGGATTGGGGGATTTCGCCCATCCGAGCTGCTAAACGTAACAACTTTTTATTCGACTTCGTAATGAAAATTGAACTTTACCATGCCAATATGTGCACGTTCTCCCTTTCCTTTTGCATTATATAGCCAAATAACAGATGAGGATCCTGGTTTAGATGGTGAAAAACCTCCCATATATGCTGACAGGTTCTGAAGCCATACTTCGGGCCGTTAAACGAACAACAAAGAGCCGATATCCACAAGTTGCATCAGTCGTCTCGGCAAGCCGAAGACGCACTCACACAGGGAATGGAAAAATTGCACCAGAATCTATCCCTCAGCATTGCCAATGATCCTCTTGGAAGCTATATTTCTCAGATGGGTGATGGGATGGAGAGACTAGAAGCATTGGAGAGCTTTGTAAGCCAGGTAATGTACTGCATTTTCTTTCACATCAAATGGACTTGATTTGCCTTTCTGAGTATGGTAAGTGTATGACAATAGTTTTTGCTTCGGTCCTGAACTGTGAACCGTTGTCACTCGGTCAGCCGAGCGTGTGTTACTCTTTTCTTGAACAGGCAGACCATCTCAGGCAACAAACTTTGAAGAGAGTGTCTCACATCCTAACCACCAAACAAGCAGCACAAGGCTTGCTCGCTTTAGGCGAGTACTTCCATCGTCTCCGTGTTCTCAGTTCCCTCTGGACCACCCGACCTCGCGAACCCGCCGAGCCATGAAAGGTTCAGACATGTTCCAGCCACCATATTAAGGCATAGACTACAAAGGGAGATATAAATCCTGGTATAAGGTTCACTGCTAGGCACAGTTTAGTATCCAAGTTCTCTGGTTTGCAAAAGATGTAAATATCAGTCCTTCCTATAATGCTCTCAGTGTAAGCAAACTTAGTTCATTAATTTAATATAGTAAAATTTTGTTTTTATATACTCCCAGTTAAAATTAAAGTAATTTTATTTTCATCCCAAATATAAATAATGCAATTAAATAATATTAGGTTAAACAAAAGGACTTTTCACTTTAAAATATTTATTTTTCAAAGGCTAACAAACCCACTCTATTTAAAAAAATGAAAACTATTATTATCACTTTATTAAGTTTGTTAAAATAAAAATAAAAATAAAAATAAAAACTAAAACATTTTGGAAATGAGAAAATAAAAGAAATGAATTAAAACGAAATTGTTTTGGAGGCAGTTCTGTCTTCGGAAGTGATTTCGAAGACCTCACAAATCAAAATCTGCTTGCTTAGAAATGAATCAAACTTGCAACTTCGGCAGTACTATGAGCAGCTGATAAACGAAGAAGAAGAAATAAATCGAAACCACGAGAGCGATCGAGATCGTGATCCTCATCAAATTGAACACTCTGAAGATGCAGAGATCGTGGCAAGCGGTGGTTATTGTCCTCGTTTCAATCTTAGCACTGCCATCTTCTTCCTTTTCGAGCTCGGAGTTGCCACTCACGGCGGATGGAACGGTGTTGGAGCTCGACGAATCCAATTTCGATCTCGCCATTTCTTCATTTGATTACATATTGGTCGACTTTTACGCCCCTTGGTGCGGCCACTGCAAGCGTCTTTCTCCAGAGGTACCTTCGTCCCCTCATATTTTCTCTTCCATTGTTCTAGATTATTCGTCGGATTCGCACTTTTAGTTACATTGTTTCTGTTATCATTTGATCTCCCTTTGGATACGTAGATGGGTGAAACAAAGTAATTTTTATTAAAACCTTAATATGGATGTGTAGAGCCAACTAAACAGAATCGAATAGGACTTCAAGTACTTATTTGTGTATTGAATCAGTTCGTCAATAATATGGAGGTTGTGACATATATGTTTTCCGATTGAACTGTCTTCGTAGCGATGAGGATTTTGAATATATGGATGTGCTAAGTCGGCTTCCATCTGGTCAAATTGAGTGGCCTAATTTCATCTTCAGGAGAATCTCAATTGTAAAGAGATTTCTGATCTGGATTGTTTGTTTCTTCAGTCTTGTGGTGTGAGTTTCACTTTCAAATTCGTTGTGGAATTTTCATAATATTCAAATAAAATTTGGAGGAGTTTCCTGTAAAGTTGGCTCTCACTTCATATCGAGGGAGATGATTCTTCGAAAGAGTAGAGGTTTCTTTAATAAATTTGTTCGTGCATCAATGATTCACAGTTTGTAGATTTTGACGCTTGGCTTTGGGTTACTATTACCAATAAGCTTCAAAATCTCTCTATTTTCTTCCATTGTCAACAATTTGATAGTTTACTTGTAAAGTTCTTTCCGGATGAGGTGTTCTTGGTTCTTGCTCCGTTTAGCACGGTACATTATTTGGACTGCAGCTGTTATTCTGCAGCCATTCTATTGCATGTGATTTTCCATATTCTTTTTAATGTGCTGAATGCTGTTGGAGTCTCTTGGAACTTGTCGTCGGGCTAAAATACAGATATCGCACCCTGCAGTGCGGTCTATTATGCACAAAATAAGTATTATTTCCTTTGGTTAATTATCTTTTTTAATTGTGTAGTTGGACGCTGCTGCGCCTCAGCTTGCCAAATTGAAGGAGCCTATAGTTCTTGCAAAACTGAATGCTGACAAGTTTACTCGTCTTGCTAAAAAATATGACGTTGAGTATGTTATTTCCTTTTATTCACATCTCCGATGTAGTAAACAATGTGGGTTTATTTTCAATAGGCTTGGAGTTTGGTTGTGTCTCTTAGATTAGATGCATAGTTTTAGTGCGAATCTCCAAGAGACCATTTCCATTATTAATGGGGAGTTTGCTACTGAATACCAGTTCTTGAATTATATTCGAAAGGCAAACTATGATTCTCTTCTAACTCCACAAACGTTTTTTTAAATTGTAGTGCCTATCCTACAATCAAGATCTTCATGCATGGCGTTCCAGTAGACTATTATGGACCAAGGAAAGCAGAGTTACTTGTCCGTTATTTGAAGAAATTTGTTGCCCCGGATGTCTCAATTCTCGAGTCAGACTCGTCGATTAATGAATTTGTTGAAGCTTCTGGGCCTTACTTCCCTATTTATTTGGGTTTCGGTTTAGATGAATCTATTATTTCTAAATTTGCTATCAAGTACAAGAAGAAAGCTTGGTTTTCAGTGGCCAAGGGATTCTCGGAGGATATCATGGTATCTTATGATTTTGATAAAGTCCCTTCCTTGGTTTCTATCCATCCAAATTACAACAATGAACGGAGCATTTTTTATGGTCCCTTTGAAGGTTGGTTTGTCTATCAACTATTACCTTGCATGTGTTTCACATCCACGTGTCATCAGAATGGATTGACAGAGTAAAAACCTTGTTATGCAGGATGCTATACCTAGTATAAACTGTTTAAGGGGCTAAGTTCCCAACTGCTTGAATTCTTATCTGTTACTTGTTTACACCAAGATGTCTGGTTGAGTTTTTATCCATTGCCAGGAATATCCCAATATCATTTCTTCTGTATATAGTTGTGTATATGCCCTTTAGGTGCTTGAATGTTGATTCGTCTCTCCATCATCGATATGTTATGCATGCTAGATAAAATTGTTTAAGCCTTCCTATTTTACTTGTGCAGATAAATTCTTGGAGGAGTTCATAAAACAAAGCTTGTTCCCTCTTGTTCTGCCCATAAACTACGACACACTTAAGCTACTAAAGGACGATGAGAGGAAAATAGCACTCACAATAGTGAAGGATGAGGATGATGACCAGACAAAGAATTTGATCAATTTATTAAAGGCTGCTGCATCTGCTAATCGTGACTTGGTGTTTGCTTATGTCGGGGCTAAACAGTGGGGAGAATTTGCTGATTCATTTGGGGACAAGAAGACCACATTACCAAAAATGATCATTTGGGATGGGGAGGAGGAATACTTAATGGTAAGTCCCTCATGAAGGCAAATGATACTGTATAGCATGTTCATTCAATCATCTACATTTAGATTTTTCTCTGTTACGATGTCACACTACTAGGACTTTGTCTGAGTGGATATGCTCACAATTTTTGTACTGCCGTAGGGTAATAAAACTCGTGACAAACTAAAGTTTCTTGAATATTTGTCTTAAAATTCACCCTGAATATTAAACCTTCGAGCATGTTATTGTTTTTAGTTAGGAATAGCGACAAACATGCATGCATGCCCAACTATGAGTATAACTGGACATGTATATATGATAGCATTCAATCACTCATGCATGTACTGAGTCTGAAGAACAAGTTTTCTTTAATGGGTAGAAAGATTATGAAATTAGTCAAGGTGTGCATAAACTGGCCCGAACACTCACAAATATAAAATAAAAGATGCGTGAATGTATGTACATATCATACTGAGGTAGTTTTTCTGTTTTTCTGTTTGATAGGTTATTGGTTCAGAAAGCATCATTGGGAACGACCATGCATCCGAAATTTCTAAATTTGTTGAAGGATATAGGGAAGGGAGAACTGAAGAAAGAAGAGTTGCAGGTCCTTCATTTATTGGCTTCATAAATTCAATGATAGGCACCTGGAGTGTATACATCATTGTATTTATAGTTGCTATAGTAATGCTTTTCCAATACCTCACGAAAGATGATAACGAATATCATAGAGTCGATACTCCTGCTCAGGATCAGGTTGACCAAATTAGTGGCAGCTCTACCTCACAGGTTGAAAGGACTGAGTACAGGGCTGGTGACAAGGAAGATTGAATGTGAAATTTGGTGAATTAATTATTAGCATGACCTTTGAACGGCTTAGGGAAGCAGATATTGACAAGAATCAGACATAAAAGTATCTTGGGAGCCATAAAATAACTGATGAAATGTGTATTTTGGTGATCTGTTCCCAAGCGCTTTACCCCTTGCGAAAGTGAACTTATATTTGATGTATGCTTTTTATGCTTTACTTTGTAACAGTTAGGTTTCTGGATCAATCGAATTGAATTGACTTCTGCAGATAGATATTGTTCATGTTGGCTCTTTTAGTTGGAAGAATTGACTTATGCAGATAGATACTGCTCATGTTGGCTCTTTTAGTTGGAAGCATCTCATTACAGTTGATATTTTTGTAAAAAGCTGGCTACCTAAACCCATCCGTCCATATTCTAAAGGATATCACAGTCCATTTTCCCCTGATGTAGAGAAAAGCCCTCCCCCTATCAGCCACTACAATTCAAAGAAAATAATAAACCAATGAAAAAAAAGATATAAATAAGCAAAGATTGATGTATGTGGAAAAACAGAAGCTCCTTTTCAAATAATTGTGTTCAACCGATCCTTTCAGGCCTCCAAGAAAGGAAGAGGGAGAGAGAAGCGGTAATATATTGCATCCTGATCAGTTGTTAAGCTAAGTCCCCCGTGTATCTAATCCCATGATCCATAAAAGAACTTCAAACCCACCCCAGAAGTATACACTCTGCTTCACTTTACAACTCCCAAAGAAATGGAGCCATCCTATGAAAGAATATACAATGATGCGAGCCATACAGGAACCAAGGAATTGATTTACAGACAAGATGATATGCCATAATTCAACCATACCCGAAGAACCTCTACATAAAAAGGATGCCAATATCTTTGAACAAAAGATTCTCGACGCGCCCGTATCAGCATTCAGGAAGAGACTGAGCTGAAGCAAATGGAGAAAAACTTGCAGCTGACCCGCTTATATGCAAGGGATTATGTTGATGACTGGAAGAGCCTATTATGCTTGGTGAGGTGTTGCTTGGACTCGGAATAAGCGGAATCATGTATCTTGAGTGTAAAGGTGATATGGACGGGTAACACGAGGAATATGGTGAAAGCAAATGCGAAGTATAAGATCTCTGGGAGGATGCATTTCTGAGTTCCACTGATCTCTGGGATGGAGATGGGCAGAAGGAGGATCTAACAGAATGCTGAAGGTAAGGTGTGGTAGAGAGAGAGTGGTTCCGAGATGCCGAAAGTGATCTTG